GATGAGATGTGCTTCAAATAGCTGAAAGTGAAGAAAATAGACAAATATTAAATGCAATGAAAAGGGGAGGGAGACAGAAAGACAACGTCCTTTTTGAACTTTAGGAAATTATGAATAATTACCAATTTGCATGGTCCCGTTCTTGGACATGTTCCCTGTTCTGTGGATTACAGATAGTAGGCATGTTTCCATTAGCAGAACTCCAGGGTAGTTCCTGGGATGGGGAACTTGACCAGGAGATAGGATGTCCCCGTCCTCTCAGCTGTTGTGTCTCCATTCATATTCAGCCCTTTCAGAACTTCCACAGACATCAGCGTATCACGACTGCTTTGGCAGTGACTGACGTCAATGATCAACCCAAAACCCGATGTGACATTAATAATAATAAAAGCATTTATTGTATAGAAGCATGTTCTAATTTAATCCATTCGGAGGACAAGAGCAGCTCTGAATTTTGAGAGACAAGCCCCTTTAAGTCTGTGGTGGATTTTTACCGTTTTGTCCAACAGCTGTGGGGGGATCACACAGAGTCTTCCTGTGTCGGGAGTTAGACCTTTAATGCGATCGGTGCCTTTTTTTAATTCTGCATCACCAGCTGCTCTTCTAATTATACTGCTGCCAGTTGTTTTTGACGTCTGCTGATGTCATTTCCTACTGAGTTACAACCAGAAGGTTCCTGAAAACGGCCGCTTGACATGTCGGGAGGTTCCTGTAAATCTATCCTCAAGTTCTTGTAGTGGAAACACGCCTATTGATACGGTTCACATGCCATCAATTTCTTTTTTTTTTTTTATCTCTTACAAAATCATAGCAGCGTATAGCTTTTTAAGTTTTACATTGTTGTTGGTTTTTTGGGGTTACTCAGAGATGTTGCACAGCAGACAGCTGTGGGAACCTGGGTGGAGAAAACTGCTCTGGATTTGGAGGTATTGCCTGCAATATCAAAATTAAACTGAAATGTAATTATCAGCTATTTGTTGAATTTAACTGTCATACAGGGTGTTCCTAAGCAGACGCATGGCAATGATTGTGGTGTCTTCATGATAATGGTGAGAGACGTAATGCCGTATACAATAACGTGACACACGATTTTTTGTATTGTTTTGTTGGATCTTATTTATAATTGCATCTTTAAGCCAATACATTTTTCTATATGACGTCAATTGAGTTCCAGGTACAGAAGCTGGAGCCACTGATTGGATAATATGTAGTATTTTGCATGGCTTCAATTGAAGAACTATGTTAGGTTCATGTAAAGCTACATTACACAATTGAATTACTTGAAATCAACACAGTAACAAAACAAAACCACAACAAAAACAGCATTACATAAAGTTAATAAATGGACTGTGGACAGTGCTAATTCTATCCATGCAGTTTATCATGTCTCCTCTAATATACAGTTTATTGTAATGATCTGCACGACATATTTTAGTGTAAATGTGTGCCCACTCTGTCACTGAGCAGTCTCATATATATTGTTTGAAAATGTGTCATCACTACAGTATGCCTGGTACTTTGCTATGGAAGCATCCTTTGACTTCAGTGTGGTAAGTTTACAAAAGAAAAATGTAAAAATTCTATCACTACGTTTCAAATATTGTTAATATACTATGACTAATGTGTCCTCATAGTGTACCTGTGGTCTTTATTAGGATGACATGTGTCTACTGGTGGTGCATTGTCCTATTAGAAAACCTTGTCCTGGAAGGGTACGCTGCAGGGCTTCCTTTTATGGTCACACTTATCTCCATTCTGGCTCATGAAAACATGTGTTTATTACAGGTATGGAAGGAAGTTTGCCCATTTTACAGAAGAGGGACAGGCAACCCTTCGTACCAATGTACCACCGGTATTCAGGATAAAAAGAAAAAGAGAACATGAACGCAGCACCATGGTCAGTGAAGACCTTACTCCTGCCTGTTTGAAAATAGGTCACCACTTTCAGGGATGGAATGATTCTGAGACGGTCCCACAATTATCAGTTGCTGTATTTAGCTTTTCCAATTTGTTTTGGTTTATTTGTTGATTTTAAATAGCCGAAAGTTTGATATGTTGTCAACTTTCAATAGTGGTGGTATAATAAGTGCAAATGTCAATCCTCTTGGATAACTGTAAATCACACTGATACAATTATTAGCTTTCCTCTGAATCCACAGGACACCGACCGTGTGTATTTTAATACACCCTACAGCTTTCCACCCAGAGAGCAGGTGAATATGAGTGAAGATTATTGCATGACAACAAAATAAAATTAATTGTAACTGCTGTGCATGAAGTCATGTTTTTTGTGTGTCGTGATTAAGGACAATGACGGCATGGACCAACACAACATGGTCAGCGTTCTGAAAATATTTTTTGTCTTTACTGTTGTCAGCCTATAACTCATGGTTAATATCTTGTTACCTGCAACATGACAGACTAATGTCTACATGAAAGATGTCCTTTTGTTCACCTCATTACTCAGGCAACCATCCATGCACTTTCAGCTGTCCATGAATGTTGACCAGACAAAGCCACAGAAATGTACGGCAGTGTGACTGGAGGTATTCTACAAACACAAGAACAGTGCTAATGCCTACATGTATTGTTTTCACATTGTTTATGACAGCCTCTAGGTGTAAATGTCATTATTACTAATTGCTATTTATCCTTGTCTCATTAGTGAGAGGCAGCTGATGTCCTACGCCATGGAACTGCTCATATACTCGGAGAAATTCAGAAAAGCTCTGGACTCATCTCATTGTGTGGACATTTTTATTTTTTATTTTTTGAAGTTTTTGTAGGCCAATAAAAGCTGCTGCTGGATGGTTCATTTGTCTGAACTTTTTTTCTAAAGCCAAACTTTTCTGCTTTTGTGTTTACAGTATATTCTTTCCAGATTAGTGTATGGTCAATATGAGTTTACTAGTCTTGTGAATTGTATACTTAATGCAAAATATTTTAGTAATTTCTAAATCAATACATTTTGTGTCAAAAGGCCAGCAATTATTCCTGTTAATAGAATATAAGAAATGCATATATACACATGTAAATATGCCCAAAAATTACACATCAGCAGCTTTTCACTGTAAAGAAGCAATAAAAAACCATAAATAGTAACATAGATATTAATTACTCACTCGTATGAACTTAGACCCACTGTTAGTGCCTGTAAAAACAAATGGTTGAAAGTTAAATGTTGCTGTAGGAGGCGTGCTCCCAAAAGTGGAGGCTAGTGGGCTTAAGGGGTTAATTAAAACGATTTCCACTAATTACTTTATCTGGTATTTAATTTTATTGCATTTGAAATAAACACTTGCACATACATTACTCACCTGCTAAGTTAAGTAAGCATAGGTATGTTGTGCCTACTGGCAACTGATTACTGTACGGCTACTGATTATTTGTTGGTGGTATCTGTGTTTTATAATCTCACTGGGGATGGCCAAAAAAATCCATACATTCATATTTAAACCTGAAGTTCTGTCTGTTTAATTACATTAATACTATTTCTTTATTTATTGTCTTTCAATTGTGTTGTTCGCCGTTGTTGAGCTCGGGGGTAGCTCAACAGGGGGGCGGGGGGGTGTTTTGTGTGTGTGTGTGTGTGTGGGGGGGGGGGGGGGCGTGTTTTGGCCGGGGGCTGTTTTTCCTGGGCGTGTTTTGCCTGGGCAATGTCCGCAGCTAGGTATTATTGAAAAATTGAGGCCATCCCAGAAGTACCAAAAATTGCAGTTCCACCCTCATCCACTAGGGGCAGGTGTCAGAAGCGAGCAAATCCTCATTGACTCCCATGTTAAAAATACCAATTTGACAGCAGAAATAAACATGTTTACAGCCTGGTACCAGAACATGTTTTTGGTTTAAATGATCTAGTTTACACTCATGACAACTCTGAGGGGGGTGAATGTTTTTCTCACTCTTCTGTTTAAGTGCATTAAAAGCCTAAAATTCTGTATAATTAATGAGCATCAGACCCACGTGACCACAGAACTAGCTCCGGGGAAAGGCCTCAGTAGAGCCTCGGTCTGGCCTGGAAACTGCTCCGGGATTTTGAGTCTCTGTGTTTGTGTATTCTGTTTTGGATATTATTTGTGCAATTGTTGGACAAAATGACTTGCTGTGGCATTAATTGCACTAATAGAGCGTCCAAGGAGTCTCCACTTCATTTTTTTCGGTAAGTAAAATTATATTTATGTATTTTAGGTCACTGCCGAGCTGAGCTTAGATTTTAACATGTACTGTTTAACCATGACATTTAAATGTAATAGGGTAAAACCCAGTGCGTTTAACATAATGCTGCACTTTAGAAAATGGGTTGAAATATAACATGTTGGTGGAGCTGGGTTCCCACTATCGGCTTGTGGAGCTCTCGGGAGACCGATGTTTTCCACCCGGTTCTCCCCAGCGGTCAGCCCGGCGTATCTCTGACTCAGAAGCTCTGGTGTTGTGCACAGTTAACTCCGGTTGTAGCTAGGTTGCAACCTCCGTTAGCTTAGCTCCCACCTCCGCGTTAGCTTTGGGTTAGCTTCAGGTTAGCTTGTAGCTAGTTCGACCGGGTGTCGTCAGTTGATCCCAGCCTTACAGCCCCACCCTCAGCTCCACCTCTCTTCCCTTTTGTGGAATTGTCTGGGCTTGACGGAACCTGTGACACGGTCAAAATGGCGGTGGTGGCCACCTCCCATTTATCTTCAAAATGTGTTATTGGAGCCTATGGAAACCCATTGTCCAATATTTATATGTTGATGGTCATGCCCTAGGGCCTAGGTTTTGCAGCTGAGGGAGAGTAACACCTTGCTCCAAAATCTGCGGCCGCCTTGATCTCACGAGGTTATCGTTGCCTATGTATGCGTGACGTCAGAGCAAGTCGGTGTCAAGTTGGACACAAATCTAACTGGCAAGCACTGCTCGCCGATCACAGCTGATCTAAACTGCGCAGAACTGGTTTATCTCGAACACAGCCGACGATTTGGACTGAAGGCTACATGTGATAAAACTACACTACCCATAAACCATCTGGAAGCTGCGCAGCCTCAGTCAGTCTGAGCTTCATGACGCTGGTGTTGTGTTGACCCGGTTTATCTGCTGCTCTGTGGAGCAACAACACCGGTAATTAGACCGTGTAGCCGTGATGTAGCACCAAGCAGCGGGACTTTAGCCTCCTGACACCAGCTAACCGCCGCCTATGCTCACTCCTCCGGCCCGGGGAGCGTCCGTGAAGCCAAACCGCCGTCCACTAGCTAAAGCTAAGCTAACCACCAGCCTGCCGTTTGTGAGTCTGCCATGTTCAGTTATTCGTGGTCTTCGCCTCAGCCCGCTGTGTGACCCGCAGGTGAACCTGCCAACCCGGGCTTCGTGTGTGAGGGCGGCCCACGAGAGGACACACCGCCGCAGACATGTGGCAGAGCCTCGGTCTCACGCTGCTGGTCATCGTGGCCACGCTCATCTGCGCCCTGCTCTTCATGCTGTTCGGTGAGTTTACGCAGCCCAGGATGAACACATGAACACAGCCCAGGGTGAACACATGAACACAGCTCAGGTTGAACACAGCCCAGGGTGAGCACATGAACACAGCCCTGGGTGAGCACATGAACACAGCCCAGGGTGAGCACATGAACACAGCCCTGGGTGAGCACATGAACACAGCCCTGGGTGAGCACATGAACACAGCCCAGGGTGAGCACATGAACACAGCCCAGGGTGAGCACATGAACACAGCCCAGGGTGAACACATGAACACAGCCCAGGGTGAGCACATGAACACAGCCCAGGTTGGGCAGCAATAGCTCAACAGGTTGAGCGGGTTGTCCAGTAATCGGAAGGTTGCAGGTTTGATCACCGCTCCGGACAGAGAATTCTGCCGTTGTGTCCTTGGGCAAGACACTTAACCCACCTTTCCTGCTGGTGGTGGTCGGTGGTCTGTCAGTGCACCCCAGGACAGCTGTGTCTACATCGTGGCTCATCACCACCAGTGTGTGAATGTGTGTGTGAATGGATGAATGATACACTGTAGTGTAAGGAGTTTTGGAGTCCTTACTCTGAGAGGCGCTATACAAGTGCGGGTATGTTATCATCATGAACACAGCCCAGGGTGAACACATGGACACAGCCCGGGATGAACACATGAACACAGCTCAGGGTGAACACATGGATGTGGACTTGGATGAAGTGCAGGACAAGGGTGCAAAAGGGGCGTGATCAGCATCCACACTTGAGAATCAGGACACCCTACCCACACCTCTGGTTGGGATAGCGCAATTGAAGGGCACGAGGGTGGAAATGCCAGTATTATGATTGGGCCATAGACGCCCTGTGGACTGGTGCTGCCTATTAGGAGTTGCTGTAGTGGCTTGCCGCCATCTTGGATGGGTCTCCATTTGCCCACTGAGGAAGGGGCTTACCCAACTAAACACATTTTACACTTGCTCTCAAAATCAGAGACAAGGTATGGCATGACAATTAAAGTGTAAATATAATGAAATCGGGTTGGCTAGAAAAGTTAATGATGTTTTTAATAATACAGCAGTTGTTGTAACCGCAGGCTGCACAGGAACGGGCATAGTTGCCCAATCTACTGTGGCAAGGTGGATAAACGAGGGCCCGGGCGGGATTCGATCCCCAGACTCCCGGGTGAGAGTCATACGCTCTAACCAGTCAGCCAAAGGGACATCCCCTTGGCCAAGTAGCCAGGGCGCATGATCAATCGTGACATTGTGACAGGACGCTCACACTGTCACATCACATTGACTTTGGAGAGGGAGGAGACCCATCCAATATGGCAGCAAGGCTGTTCCGCTGTCCAGCGCCCAATGGGGCATCTACGTATTCATGCCTGTGGCCTTAGGAACTAATTCACAAACATTGGTGCATAAATGAGACAAAAGTGAGCGCTCCCAGAGGTTTAGCTTCCTTCGTCTGTAACAGTGACTCAGCTCCAGCTGTTTCCTGATGTTTCTCCTGTGTCCCTCAGGTTGGTACGTGGTCTGGCAGCTCTTCCTGTCCAAGTTTAAGTTTCTACGGGAACTCGTCGGCGATGCCGGAACCCCACAGGCCGAAACCCAGCCGGCTGAAACCAAAAGCAGTGCCATGACGAGGAGCCGGCCCCGGACCATTCGCCAAAGAGTCGCCTTCCCAGAGAGCACCTCCTAGACCAGCCAACGTCCTCATCAACCCTCGACCTCACAGGGAACTTTGCACCGACACATTTAAAGGGAGAAGGTGGCTGCGTTCATTAGGGTCACAGGTTTCAAGACCAGTGATGGCTGAGCCCACCCCGTGTGCTGAACTCACCCTTTTGCATCACATGACCACCCTGTCTGTTTTTAGAAACATTTACACCAAATGTTGATCACATGACCTGGTCAGCTGACCTGGACCTCAGCAGTATTTACACCATCCTGTCACTCATTTTATTTGCTCCAAATAAATAACAGGAAACAGGAAGTTGATGAGTCTTTAGTTAAAACCTGCCAGTTCACTCACCCATCCCATAATTTATTCTTAGCTTTAAAGCATTTAAGATAAATCCCCTGGCGTGTGCAGTGGGCATCATTTGGAATCGTAGTGTCCAAGGAAGGTCTCACCTTTGTTGCCTCTGATTGGCAGGAAAGGCTCTCCTACGATTGGCTACTTCCTGGAGGAAACTGCGTTTCTTCGCTGGAATAACCATCCCGTCCTGTTTGACAACAAACCGTTTTCACTTTCCTCACAAAATAACCTGAAAATGTGAATTTCTAATAAACCTTGTAGCACTTAGTCACCGCTGACTTGGGTGTGGGTCCCGTCTTCTGGATCGGCGGGGGGGTTCCACACCTGTTTAGATGTGTGTGCACGAGTGTCCATGGTTCTAGAAGAGAACCAGACCCGCTGTAGCTAGTGAACCACACGTCCTGACCTTGCAGATGTTTGTCTAGTCTGGCTCGCTAGGCTGCACACAGCCGGGGAGAACAGGGCGGTTCACACGTTCATCCTGTCCACTCTGCTTTCATCACATCACCTCGGTGCTTGAGCGCCAGCAGACTAAAGTCCAGCTGAGAAGTGCAACCAGATTTATTAGGTTTAGATTTTACTCAACAGAGAAACTAGTTAGCAAAACAAGACAGAATGTTGTCGCCTCTGCCAGGGCAGCTGTGGCTACAATGTAGCTCATCCCCATCAGTGTGAATGGATGAACGATACAGTAAAGCACTTTGGAGTCCTCTTAAAGGTACTGTACAAGTGTGGGTCGCGTGTCATTTACAGCGCTAGGTTCACGTTCTCTTCACTAAACAGCCGTTCTGCTGCAGGACAGCTGCTCTCAGCCAGGAAACTGTTAGCTGCTACATGAAGTAGCCAATCGTAGTAGAGCCCTTCTAGCCAATCAGAGGCGAGAAAGGTGGGACCTTCCTTGGACATCCTACGATTCCAAATGACACGTCCAGAGGCACCCCCACATGGACAATAACATTACACTGGTTCTTTAAGAGGTTCACCCAAAAAACCACGAAGATCAATCAGAAGAAAGACTTTTAATGAGATTATCTTTCACTCCTCAGGTGATGAATCCAGGTGGCAGTTGGATTATTTTCTGTGTGGCTTTGGGAGCAGTAGAGAAAAAATAAGTTACTAGAAAGTCAGGAAGAGGAAAGTCTTCAGGAGAAACATCCTCACCTGCAGTCACGCCTGAAGCTCTGAGCAGAACACCAGCACCTCCTCCTGGAAACAAACGGCACCAGTCTGTGTAAGACAGGGCTTTAACTCCGGTCCGGTATCCAGCAGGTTTTAGTTGTTACCCTGCTCCAACATACCTGCAGAGCCTGATCAGCTGCTACACAGGTGTGCTGGATACCGGTGTTCTACCCGTAGGTGAATTACGGTGTTTTACATGACACCAACCCTAACCCTAACCCAAGAAAAAAAGTACTAATACTTACTACATATCTATTTTCCTGCAAATTTGACAGCGGAGTAGTATTCCCCTTTTGTATTGTGCGCATGCGCGCACATGCTCAGTAACAACGGGTAGGACGGTTTACCGGGTAGGAGAAATCCTCAGAACACCGGCCCTCCAGGCCCAGGACTGAAGGCAGCTGCTGTCGGAGGTGTACCTATAACCGAGCCGTGAAGAACCGAACCACAGCTGGGCCTCAAACAGCCTCCGGTTCCTCTAGCAGACACAACAGGACAGAACCGAACCACCGCAGGTTCGGCCTCGCTGGAAACGTCTGCACACGGACCCTGGCATAATGACGACTGTTACCGTGATCGTGTGCCTGGTTCCTGGTTCCTGGTCTGGGTTCGGGTCCAGAAAGTTCTGGATCAAGGCTGAAACCAACAGAAACAGTGCCTGCGTCAGAAACGAGTTAAACATTAAAAATCAAGTTTGTTTTCTAATCAGAGCTGTCCGGTTCTGGTCCGGTCCAGAACCCTTTGTAGACGTGGACTGGACCGGAAACAGGTTTGTAGGAGGTTTACCTATAACCGAGCCGTGAAGAACCGAACCACAGCTGGGCCTCAAACAGCCTCCGGTTCCTCTAGCAGACACAACAGGCCAGAACCGAACCACCGCAGGTTCGGCCTCGCTGGAAACGTCTGCACACGGAAGAAACCGAGAAACCCGCCAGCCAAGCGGGACCGGAACCGGAGCGGAAACAGTTTCAGAACACTTACTCTCCAGAACCGACTGACACACCGATCCGAACTCACGTCCACGTCTCCAGAACCGGAACCAGCCAAAGTCCGAGCCTAGATGGCAGCAGATGGACCGAACCGGTGTCAGCCACGCCGTGCTCGTGCCCACCGGAAGTAGGGACTTCTTCTGCAGAGTTCCGCTGAGCGGCGTGGTCGCGCCCCCTGCTGGCAGAAGAGGCTCTTCACAAGAACACAAACTCTGAAACGGGTTTAAAAATGGGCCATTCCCATCGGTACCGGGTCGGCCCGGGCCGGGTAGCGTAGGTTGTTTACATATCTGGGTGGCCTGGTATTGTTCCGGGCCAACCAAGGCTCATTCTCAGCCCTCTTCTGGAGGGGGTCTGCTTCA